GCTGCTCGAGGTCGCTCGGCCATCGCGAGGCCATCGGTCTCGACATCGTCGCGGATCTCGACCAGTTGCCCTCGCAGCGCTTCGACGCGCGCATGCACTGCTCGGATCTAACGCCAGCATCAGACGACATGTCGAGGTATGCATACGATGCGACCTTGTCTTGCATGACCGGACCGTACCGCGGCTCGTTCGTCACGGGGTCGGACCACGCCAGCCGCTCCATAAACTTGTCCATCTTGATACCAATGTCCTCGTCGAGGAGGCGTCGAAGCGCATGGAGCGCTGCGAGTTGGGCGACGCGGGTCTCCTCAGCGACGTCGGCCGTGGTCCGCGAGGCCACGAGGTCCCGCAGGCGCACCTCGGCGTCGTCGACGGTGCTCGTCAGCCGTTTTAGCTCCATCGTGCCAATGCAAAATACCGTTCATTTGCTTCAAATATACCGTATGTTCTTCAAAAACGGAAAACTCAACAGCGCCAGGCATCAACCACCACGGCCTTAAACTACCAAGATGAACAAATCCGCAAGCCCAATCTGTACACGTACTGTCCACCATGCATCGAGTCGATTGCAGTTAAAAAAGGGGCGGCCTCATCTGCTTGATTACCCTTGTTGGCGGCGCACGACGGGCGTCGCATCAATCTGCTGCACACTGGCGAGCGCGCCTTGGATCTTGAGGCGGTACTCAAAGTCCCTAGTACCCACCATGTCCATCGCCATCGTCTTCACGAGCACAGGAGGACGTACGACGCCAGCGGGTTGCGCTCCAGGTAGAGCGTCTCGAGCTTGACGTTGGCGGCCAAGTGCTGGATGTCGTCAAAGGAGCTGATCTCGTTGTCGTTGAGCCAGAGGTCTTCGAGGGCCACGTTCGCACCCATATGCGGGATCGTCTTGATGCGGTTGGCGCCCACGTCGAGGATCGTGAGCTTGGTCTACACAAAGTGTTGGTGGTCTCTGTAAGGTAGTCTCGGAGCGAAAACGCGTACGAGATGGTCGAGGTTGGCGAGCGCCTCGATGCCATTGTGGCTCAGATAGAGCTCTTCGAGGGCGACGTTGGCGCTCAAGTTGTCGATCGCAAGCAGCCGGTTGCTCTGGATGCTCATGACGCGGAGCTTGGTGAGGGCGCCGAGGCCCTAATAGCGCCCGACTACAGCAATAGACGCACCAGCGATCCATTTACCTGAATCGCCGTGATCTTGTTTTTCCCGAGCCAGAGCTGCTCGAGGTTCTCGAGGTGGTCGAGGCCTTCAATGGTGCGAATACGGTTGGCCCCGAGGTCGAGCTTGACGAGCGTGCGCAGGTTGCCAATACCAGTGATGTGCGTGAGCTTGTTGTTGGCTACATAGAGCTCCTCGAGCTGCGTCAAGTGGCTCAGATCGGGAATGGATCGGATCTCGTTGAACGAGAGGTCCAGCACTAGGACGTGTTAGGATCATATGATGGGTCGATGGGTCGCACCGCGCAACTTGACGAGCTTCTCGAGGCCCACCATCTTCTTGATCTGGTTGTCGTACAGCTCGAGATGCGTGAGGTTCACGAGCGACTCGATGCCCGTCATCTTGTAGAGCAAGTTGGAGCGCACATGCAGCTCCTGCGACCGCATGAGTCGACGAACGATATATAGACGACGCTCGTACGCGCAGCTGGACCATGGCCTCGAGGCCGTCGAGCACACGCGCCTTGAGCCCCGCAGTGCCCACGTGGTAGATTTCCTAGCAGCCATGCCATGAGCATGGCCAGCGCGGCAATGGCAGCGCACCTCGTCATCGGGCCGGAATTCGACGCACTCTGTCAGCGGCAGCTCCTTGTTCTCGCTCGCATCCTGGGTTTCGACCGGCTTGGGGATCGTCTCTTCCACGACGCGGGCCACGCGCGCGGCAGGCGGCGCGACAGCCAACGCGCTATCATCCGGCGTCGAGCTCATGGCAACAATCGAACTTATCAAATGATCTCGAACTTAACGTGTCCGAGTCGTTGGCCATACAAACCGCAAGTGCAATGGCTACATCGCCCACCACCAAGAGCAGCAGCAGCGTAGGTGCAGATATCCAGGCGCAGGTCGTTTAGGCTCCCGGCGCGGGAGGGTTAAGATCATAGGGCATTGCGTCGTTGCGTCGGTCTGCAGCACGGACGAGCCTCCCAGCAGCACGCTGCAAGGACCCCCCCCGGCCTGTCCCCCACCCCTAGTCGGTTTTGAGCTTAGAGGCGCCACCTGCGCCATGAATCATGGGCGTGCACGACTCATATTTCCTGCTGTACAAAGAAGTCGTGTCCATGTCTAAGAAGATGGCTTGTCTCGCGTTGCACAGGGAGTAACCCGAAGATAACAACGATTTCGACAAGCGCATGCGTTCAAGTTGGCGTTGCATATATCCGATCAAAGTCCAATCTTCATATGTAGAGCATGTGACCTCGGGCGTACCACTCGACGGTGTCGACAAGCGCGGGGTCTCGGATGGTCTCGGTTGCAATCTGCAAGAACCGGAGCTTTGTGAGCGAGTACGTGATCTCGTGCACGCTCTCGAGCCGGTCGATCTCGGCTTCGAAGGCATCGACAGCACTTGTTGGTGTCATGGCGCGGCCACAGAGCAGTCGGAGAAGGTCCAAGAGCTGCAAGTACGGGATCTTTTCCTAGGGTCAACATCGCATCACGTTTTCGATTTGCTTGAGACAAGCGGACCTTGTCATCGTAGCTCGCGACATGATCAAAGAACCGGCGCGCCGTCTCCATTGAAAGTGACGCGCTCTCGCCATTCTCTGTGTTGGTTTGTGATGGCGTGTCACTGCTGGTTCGTTTGGCCCATTGTTCAATGACCACTTGGGCGGCTACGAAGCGGTCCGTCTTCTTGCGCGTCGACGCTTCAATGCTCTGTGCCGACTGGCCCCGCACCGACGCTTGAAGGTACCGCTTGGTGCTGTCAAAGCGCGGGTTGGTCGTCGGGTTGGGCACGCGCAGGGCGCCTTTGAGCTCTACCAGCTGGCGCACGCACGAGCGCGAGACCCGGCGGGACTGCTGACGCACCGACTTGGCGAGCGGCGCGACGCGGACTTGAACCTTTTGCGAGAACGCGACCAGGTCCTGGACCTCTTGGGTCGCCAAGAGCTGCAATTTCTTGGCGGCGATCGTTGTTGACACGAGCTGCGCCATGGTCGCTTTCGTTTCGACCATGTACTGGACGGGCACGGTGACCAAGGCGTGCGCGAGCTTCTCCGTGAGGCTTGGACCATCGTCGTCGTCGTCGTCGTCATTGTCCGAGCCCGATCGGTCGCGCCAGGTCGTGTCCACCTCGGGTTCGATTGGCGGTGGCGGTGGCAACGACTCGGTTGACGCCATTTCGGGCACTTTGGGGCGGTGGTCGACGCCGTAGAGCAGCTCAGCGACCTTCTTCGTCTGGTCGACGAGCGACTGCCGACGGCGTTCGGTGCGCGTGGGTGCCGCCGGTGTTAGCGTCGGGTCGCCGCGCGCGATCGCAATCTCCAAGCGCAGAATCGCGAGCCAGAGCACACAGTCGGATGCTGACGCCGCGCTCACGTGCAGCGTCGTCGATGGCACCGCTGTCGTCGCCGCACCCGCCACCAACTCGCGTGTCGGCGGCAGCGGTGTGTACTCGATGTAAAAGCAGTTGGGCACGTCATCCTCGAGGCTGGTTGCATTGTAGTCGTGGACCAAGTTGACAGAGCACGCGCGGAGTGGCCACGCAATGAGCGGCGTGGCATCAACTTGCGTGAGCGCGTCGACGGTCCAGGTGCCGTCGGCCACGCGGCAGCGCCGGGGCACCCATTGCTACAGTGTCGTGAGCTTGGATTCTCTCGGCTTCTTCACGGAAACCGTGCGTACCGAGACCGGCGTCGACGTGTGGACGCGCAGAATGCCATCTTTGGCAATCGGTACCCGAAACGTGAGCTTGACAGGCCGGGCCTTGGTGCGCAGCGCGTGCCACATGACATCAAACGCGTGATGCTTGCCACTTGCATCCTTGAGCCGAACGAGGACACTAATGGTAGATCCTTTGAGAGCCCATAGGACGAAGGATGAGAGTCGAACCTGCCCCGGGGCACGTGATCCAATGCATTGCAGGTGACAATGCGCTCATGCCATTGCTCGAGGAGGAGCTCGAGGCGCTCGTGGGCGTACACCGTTACGTGCACGTACCCCGTCGTCTTGACAAGCGCCTGAATGTCTCTCTCAAAGGCGACGGACGGCGCGTCTTTGGCTTCGGACCGCGCGGTCGCCAAGTGCCGAAGCCACGTGTTCTTCTCCGTGGCGCTGAACGCGGCGACATACAAGTCGGGCGCGCCAAAGCTATCGGTATGAATCCAGTGGATGCTGTCGACACGAAGAATGTTTTTACCGCTGGATCGTAAAGGCGTTGGCGCGGGCCGTCGGTGTCGACGGTTCAACCTTGAGGACCATCTCGAGGTAGATCTTGGTCTTGACGCCCATGCGCTTTTCATTCGTCTTGAGAACGACGACGCCGTTGTGCAGCGTGCAGTAGAGCCGACGCCAGCCTTTGGTCGAGGCACATCGTACGTCCTACATGTTCCTTTGTCTAGTTTTACTTGAAAAGAGAGACAAGTTTCAACCACGTAGCCCGCAAACTCGGAGGCTTTCTTGTGCTGGTGCTGGAGAACCTTGTGGCGAAGGATGCGGATTTCGAGCTCGGTCATCCACTCTTGTTTCTCTTGATCGCTCGCCGCTGCAAAGGTCAGTGTCGTGTGCGCAGTGGCAATGCCAAAAACAAACGCGTGGGCTTTGGTCGGCGGAAGGTCTTGCACATACGCGTGGGCCGTCAGGCGCACGTGGTTGCGCACGAATTGGGCGCCGGGCGTCGCGTTTGCGTAGCTCACGCACGACTCGCCGAGCTCCACGTGGCGCTTGGTCCACGGCTTCCATGGGTACTTGTCCGACTTTTTCAACAAACTGCTGCGTAGCACGAACGGGAAGTGCGCCAGCGTCGCCTGGAGATGCGTGAGCCAAGTGCTCATGTCGCCGTGGGTCTTGGCCGTGAGCACCAAGGTCTGCCCGTCGGTCCTAATCGTTCGTCTCGATACGCAGCACGATGAAAGGGTGTCGTACGTGACGCAAAAGGTGTGGGGTGGCAACCCGGGCCACATTTCGCTGCACACCGCGACCTCTGTCGACCGGTTGAACGCAAAAGACCCGCTGATCGGGAGCTTAAACTTGGGCCGCGGGTCCACGAGGTAGTAGTCCATCCGGGTTGGCGTCAACACAAAGAAGAGCCGCATCGGCGCCATGCGCAGCTCGGGCGCGGACGGTGCAGGGAGCTTGATGCCAAGCATCTCGAGAAGCGACGGGTCGGTGTACTGCGCGTTGATATCCTTCGTTGACTTGGCGCGCGGCGCATGGCCGCGCAGAAGAAAACCCGAGTAAAAGTCGTCGCGCATGGTTCTGCACTGCCGCTTGACGCTGGAAAAAGGCGCCAAAGATAGCCTCGTGGCCGTTATGACGTGGCACCACGAGACACTGTTGTTGAATTGGGTCCTCTATTAAAATAGATAAAACTATGCTAAATAAAATAGTCGGACTTTCTTCATTGTGTGTACGCGGTTGAGGGACTTGATTTAGGCAGGCGGAGGCATGAGCGCAATCCGCGGGACGAGGTGCCGTCGCGGCCACTCGTGGTGGGCGAGGAGCCGGAGAAGCCGACGAAGTGCAGGCTGCTCGGGCTCTTGTACGAGGCTGTGGTGCAAGTGCAGTTGAGCGACGTGTGCCGCCTTGACGGCAATCGTCCATGGACTTGGCGGCGGTAGGTCGGCGCGAAAGACGCGATCGTTCCGGACTCGCCAGACGTTGAACCAGACGCAGGCGCGGAGCCAGAGGTAGCGGAACGCGGCTTGTGCATGTTGGACGCCGTCGAGTAGAGGTAGCCGGAGAGCGTAGTCGGCAAGGTCACGCCCAAATGGACCGTGACGGCGTGAAGCGTGCTCCACACGTCCTTGATGAAGTCGCAGTCTACGAGGAAGTGGCGGTACGTCTCGTGCGCGGGGCAGAAGAGGCACGCTTGGTCGGCCCTGTCGAGCCAGTGCAAATGTGCGCGGAACTTGACCGCGCGGAGCATCACTTGGTAGACGAAGTCGGACCACGAGACACTGTCATGTAACGGCAAAGAAAGTCACTGGAGACTACGATTGCTGCACGACGACGAATACGTTCAAGCCCCATGTAATGAAAGCTCGTGCTCGCTGCGACCCATGCAACCTTTGCCTGCGCATGGAGCTTGACATTTGCTTCGTGGTTTGTAATGACTGAACTACGGACGACTGCTTCTGCTACAAATTGTACACGGACGGACGATTCCCTGAACATGGCGGGAGAAGTACATCCAGCTTTCGCATCCAACTGGAAGAACAGCCCGTCCCCATGGAGGCACTGGCTCACACGAGGCGAGCACGTCTCGCTGGCAGAGTCAGCGTGACATGCGAAAAGACACGCAGGGTGCAAAGACACCACTGCCGCCTGGTCGTCCAGAAGCCATCCAATGCTACGTTCAGTCCAAGCACTAGATAGACACCTTGGTATGAATGCCTCTTTCAAGTTGAAAGAGGCATTCCTACCAAGGTGTCTATCTATTGGTCTTCAAAGTCTCAAGACCTAAAGATCACGTGGCGAAGCGTGTCGCTACCGTGCACAAGTTGTCTACCAAGGGGATACAATCATTCGAACATCCATGTCTTGAACCATGACATGGTGCGTACATGTACGCACAAGCACGGTCCAGTCATCGTCCCACGCGTGTCGACGACGTAATATGCACCAGGGCGTCCGCGGACGGTCGTCATGGACCGTGGTACACGTATAACTTGGATACCTTTTTTCAATTCGCCGATGCCAAGGTAAGAACGATTTCGGTCCTTCAACGCTGTGTACTGCCATCACGCACGAGCCATCGGATCCAAGGCTCGGCCAGATCCGTTGTGCATTCTCAACAAGATAGATTGGTCTGCAGGAGTCGCCGCCCACCCAACGATACCAACGGTACGTAATGTCATTCTCAGCCCCCAGCAGGTCCTGCTACGATTGAAGCCAACGGCACCGACTCTGCGTCCGCATGGCACATTGCTCGCCACGGGCTCTCCGAGTCCACGCGCTTCGACAACAATCCCAACGTGCCGCCAATCCTCTCCCCACCATCATCCATGGCTTGCCCTGATAGACTTGCCCGCTGCGGTCGCCAGACGTCTCGGTGGTACGTACATCCACATCGCCTTCGCTTCCGACCATACCTCACATGTACATCTCCGCGTCCATGGAGCGAACTGTCAACCTCGTCTCTTTGCCGCTAATAGCGTTCGATGCATTTGCTCCTTTCCTTGGGCGAGCGCGGAACGCCACGTGCCCGGTTGATTGGGATGGAGGCCATGTGCTTTCGTCTACCTCGGCCGCCGTTGCGGCGTCACCGCGCCGAGAGGTTGGTAGATGTAATGCCTTCGATTCGTCCTGTCCCACAAGCGACTTTGCCAGCATGATCACCGGAACGTAACAGCCGCGTCGAAGCTTTTCCCTTTGAACAGTCAGTATGGGCTGAATATTGGTGCAAAATCCCAATATAACGTGGAAAAATCCGTTTCAACAACGGCTCAATCGATGTTTGTAGGGAGAAGCGGGCCGGAAATATCAGCGAGACACGGGACGCAGAACCATGCGCCCAGCGACGACGCCCGCTCCTCGCCGGCCATTCTTCATTATGCAGGCTCCGCCACGCCAGGGCGCCAACGTGCTCTCCTTCATCGGCGAGGACGAGGTCAAGGAGCCGCGGCCCATGACGGGCCAGCACACGTACACGCACCTCACGACGCCCGAGTACAACGTGGTCACGATCGGCGGGCCGGACGCCGTGCACCGGAAAGGCCATCGCAGCTCCAAGGTCGACATGATGCTGCGGTCGTCGGCGGTCGCGACGCGCCTCTCGCGCATCTCGATGGCGTCGTCGTACATGCCATCGATGAGCGAGATGTCGTCGACGCGGGGCGGCGACGCGCTGCGCACGCCCATGATGGAAGACCGGACCAGCAACATCTTTGACAGCGCGCGTGGCACGGGCGCGGCGCCGGCGGACCCGCGATTTAAGCTGCAGGCGCTCAAGGATGTGCTCAGTGGCATCGCCGACAAGAACGGCATGGTC